TTCTGAAGTTCACTCAATCAATCCCACAATGCACCACAGTAAAGTGTGAACAGCTGATGTACTCAAAGGCTGGAGAATATCCGTAATGCACTGTTGCCAAATTTATTTCCACATCTGTGATGGTATTGGTATCTTATCAGTGTAAATTTCTAAATAAGCAATTCGTTTATTTTCTTTTCAGCTTAGTCTTTTTAATAATAAAGGGTAGCCATAGCAGAATAAACCACCAACTTTTCCAGCACATGTTTTATGCAGCTAATACTTTTCCAGCTGCAATCCATTACTGGGAAACACCCACACACTCTTGCACACACTTACATACACTACGGCCAATTTAGCTTATTTAATTAACCTGTACCAAATGTTTTTGCACTGTGCGGGAAACTGGAGCACCTGAAGGAAACCCATGCATGCAAACACTGGGAGAACATGCAAACTCCACACAGAAATTCCAACTGACCCAGCCGAGGCTCGAACCAGCGACCTTCTTGCTGTGAGTCGATCTTGCTACTCACTGCGCCACCGCATAACTCAATTGGAAGATCATTATATTCTAGTATTTGTTTATATTTGTAAAATATGTATCTTGATTAGACTGTAAATCATCTTTCAACAATGGAAAGGGACCATCTAAGAAGTTCTGTTCAAATGAACCTGCATTTTGATTGTTAACTCATCGGATATAATTTATTTATAACACATGCAACAAGACACTGGCTGTATCTGAATTTGCCCCTATAGCCTTAAATGAAGCACTATATGAGGGAGCAGCCATTTGTAGTAGTGGCATCTGAAACCATTGTGGACATTCTGAAGTGCACTTAATCAATCCCAAAATGCAGCGCAGTAAAGTGTGTACAACTAATGTTCACTCAAAGGCTAATATCCATAATGCACTGTTGCCGAATTAATTCCCGCATCTCTGAGTGGAATTATTCTTATCAGTGTAAGTTAATAAAAATAAATTATTTATTTGTTAAAATAACATTTACATTACAGTAATCAAAATAGTTGGTTTCATTACTAATAGACAGCTCGCTAATAAATGACAATCACGGGGTCTGACCAAAAAGTTCAATGCTTTTAATGAAATCTTAAAGTTCAATGCTCTTAACTTTATTGTTAAAGGTTTTTAAATTTGTTTTTCATGTTATACAGAGCAAAAAAAAACAAACAAAAACAAAACACCCCTTTCCACACCACGTCTAGGAACAATATATGATCAAATGTCCATGGGAAAAAATAAAAGATGAAAACATGGCATTAAAAAGTTCCTTTTTCTCATATTGTCATGTTGTGTGTGTCCATTTAACTCTATCGGGTTAAAAAAAAAGGTTGCCAAACCTTTTAAAATGTCTCAACAGACTAAGGTTTGATAGTAATCCTTGTTTTCTTCAACTTAAGATGAAACATCACGTCTCTTGCGCAGGGATTATGTGTTGGTAGAATAGGGTCTTTCCATTTCAACAATATCAGTCTTCTAGCCAGAGGAGAACCAAGGGCTAAAATTTTAATTTATCTCATGTTGAGAGGAGCGTTCTTAGGGGCCGCCCCGAACAATGCGAGAAATGGTGACTGATCTACTACCACCCCAAATGCCTCAGAAAGGTCTCAAATATACTAGTCCAGTACAACTGTCAAAGCTTTGGACATGACCAGAACATGTCCAGCAGAGTAGCTGGAGCCTGCCTTCACCGATTGCATATGTCAGCATTGATCTTAGAAAGTCTGACTTTAGACCAGTGCAAACGAGTAACAATTTCAAATTGTATTACAGCATGTCTGAGGCATATGGATGATGAGAAAATTCCTGGTATTATTTTGTGTCAATCTTAATCTAAATTGGTTTATCTAAACCTGCCTCCTATTTATTTGTAAGTAAGTTTAAGGATGCTAAAAACTCTCTCTTTTAAATGTAGCTATATTGTAACACTACTTGAACAAACCATGTAGTTGTTTTTATATATATATATATATATATATATATATATATATATATATATATATATATATATATATATATATATATGTATATATATTTTTTTCTTTCTTTTTTCTTTTTTTTTTTTTTTAAGGGGGTTTTAGGAGGAAATTCCCAAAATTCTTGCTCATGGTTACACTGCACATTTCGCCCCATAGACTTTCATTCATACACATGCGAATGCAACAGACCAGAAATGCAAGCTCGTGCAGCAAGTTTTGCATGTTGCTGCATTACAAACCTGGTGAACACGTGAGTCACGTGATTGCATGAGACTAATAGAGGATTAAATCCCGTCTCTTTTTGCAGTGCCGTATGACAGAATTTTGCAAGCTCAAACTCTAGTGTGACTGCAGCTTAACATGTAATCCAAGTTACTCATAAACTGCCGTTCCTCACATTACATGCCTGAGCTCTGGGCAGACATCCTTGTTTGCATATTTTCATTATCAGTGTCATTGATTGGACACAGCAGGCAACCAATTTACAGAAAGTAAGGATTGTCCATATCTGTTCCTGGAGGGCCGCCGTCCTGCATTGTTATCTCCTCCTGTAATTAAACACACCTGAACCAGATAATCAAGCTCTTATACACATATTAGAAATTCCAGACAGGTGTATGGAGGAAAGCTGACACTTGGACACTCCTGACATAAAGCCTCTAGTGTTGGACATCCTCATATATAGGTGACACGGTGGCTCAGTGGTTAGCACTGTCGCCTCACAGCAAGAAGGTTGCTGGTTCTAGTCCTGGCTGAGTCAATTGGCATTTCTGTGCGGAGTTTGCATGTTCTCCCCGTGATCACGTGGGTTTCCTCTGGGTGCTCTGATTTCCTGCACAGTGTAAAGACATATAGTTATATAGGTTTATTGACGTTTATGTGAATTAAATAAACTAAATTGGCTGTAGTGTATGTGTGTGTGGGTGTTTCCCAGTACTAGGTTGCAGCTGAAAGGGCATCCGCTGTTTAAAACATATGCTTGATAAGTTGTAGTTCATTCCACTGTGGCAACCCCTGATAAATAAAGGGACTAAGTTGAAGGAAAATGAATGAATATAGTAGTCAACATTTAAAGTGGATCATCAAAGTTGTCCTAAAACTACTAATGAAGCTCCCATTCCTGTCTCGGGACATTTTTTAAAAGCTTTTTTGATCCACTTCAAATGTTGACTACTGTATATGTGCTGCTAAATTAATTATTGAAAAAAATAGTACACCTAAAAATTCTGTCATCACCTCACCATTGACGTGTTTCAAACCAGTTTGAGTTTTTTTTGTTTTTATTGAACACAAAAGAAGCTTTTTTAAGAATGTTGGAATCCTGTAACCATTGACTTCCATGTGCTGGTCTTGGTGCTAGAAAGTATTTTCCGGCACTATATCACAATATCATCAGGAATGCTAAAGCTTTGGTACTGCGGTAAATTTCCTTAAACATTACTCTGAAATGAGAGTTTAGTTACCATATAGCCATATTGGCCTATAAAATAGCAAATTTTTATTTTCAATAAGTTCTAGTATATACGATTTAACTACAGAAATATTATGCTTTAAATTATTAACAAACAAACAAAAAAGATAAAACTCTTTGGTCATTTTTGAGAATTATGCTATTTAGGGATGTCCAGATCTAATCATATGATTGGAAATTGGGCCTGATTGCGAGGTTTCAGACTTGGAATCGGACTTTACCTCCCAGTCAGTTCTCGAGATCTACCTGAGCTCAAACTCCCCTCTCACCTTCCAAAAGGAGGGAGCCCCAGGCTCAAGGATCTTATGAGTTCAGGGCTCTCTCCAGGGACAGCATGCCAAAGTAGCTTATTAATCAATCATCAGCTAAGTGTGAACTCTTGAAAACTGAAGATATATATATAAATATATTGTCATTATTTTATAACACATCTATAGTTATATTGTCATTATTTTGTAACATATCTATAGTTATGCGGTGGTATAGAGTTAGACCTATTTCTTGACAGCAAAACGTGCGGCCCGACATCACTTTGTTGCAGAGATGCTATTGGTTAAATGCTGGCAAAGTAGATCTCGGAGGCAGCTTATAGCAGATCGTGCAAGTATGTCTGCGGTCTGGAGGTATTATAAAATTGATGACGACAACGTTGTCATAGCAAGCTGTCAGATATGTCAATTTGGGATTGCCTGTCACGTTTTTTTAAGTTGAGGTGCTGTTTGTTTTTATATTAGATGTTTTTTATATTTACCTGTACTGTAGCACTAAAGTTTAAAAGTAAAGAATTTATGTTATGTATTACTTGATTGTTGAAGCTACCTCACAGAAGTGCTCTGTTTGTTTGTTAACATAGTTGTTGAATATTAAAATAAGATGAATTTAATAAAACTTTAGGAACATCCTTGATCTGTTTTTTCACTCTATTTTTTATGTTATATAGAAGTATCGGAACGGGTTTCAGATACTCAAAAGCAAAGGACTCGTACTCTGCAAAAAAAAAAACCTGACCGGGACATCTTTAATGCTACTGGTGTAATCCAATTCATTAATCTATGCTAAGCTAAACCAAACTAAAAGTGCTCCTGAAAGACCTGCAGATCAGCTGAAAGGATTAAAAAATGGTAAAACTCAACTGTTTACCTCTAGATGAGTTTTAAAACTTAAATATTATCACACACACAAAAAAGTGGAGTGTTCCTTTGAGTGAGAGTGTGAAAGCTCTGATGGCTGTGTGGTATGTTGACTTGTTATGGCGCAATCTTTATCCAAACCATGTGTAGAACATAATACTGAAACTGAAAGCAAACTAGTGGAAAATAGTGGAGTTTTTAGACGAGGAACAAAAGTTCATTCTTTTGTGTGAGCTTTGCGGCTGGAAATCTGCACAGGATTAAGCCCTCGAGATTGCACAACAGCTGAGAATCTGATGATCGAGAGGGGAATTTGACTAAAATCCCATGTCAGGGAAACTGAGTTCATTCACTGCATGCGCTATTATCCTCAAAAGCATTACAACTTTACTGATGAAAAACACACTGCACAAACATATATGTGAAAGTTTTATTGCCTCAGCAGGTTTGAAGCACAGAATTCATTTAAAAGTAAATGAAATTAAATACAGTAAAAAAGCAAACATTTCCCATAGGGACTGCCATAAATTTCTTCCACATAAATGAAAAAGACAACCTATACAGGAGTAAATGTAAAGATGCTTACATGATATGTGCTTAATAAATGACTGCAGTATGCTTACGAATAATAAACAAGGTGATCTGAAAAGCCTAAAACTAAGACCACCCATTTGCCTCATCTGCACATCCTCCACCTGTTACATCTGTTCTTCAAAGAATGAATAAAGACGATTCCTACAAGAAGAATCTTTCCTATTTACAAAACTGTAATGCTTACAATATTCACAGTGTATTCACAAGTCAGTGGTGGTCGAGTAACAGTGCTGCAACTGAAGGCATTGCGACGGTCATCCCGACTCAGTATCCACCTCTTCGTAATGCCCATTTATAAAGGCATATATTCATGCCTCAGGCCTCATACTGTCCATGTTGTGGTAAAGAACCCCACATTTACAGTTTAGTCCATTATACCTCCACGCCAGGTCACACTTCTTCTGGTATTTTGTTCTGGGCTGGTACATAAGTGTCCTGTATTACAAAAAGAAAAAAAAATAGAAGTGAGGCTTTTTTAAAACAACATGTGGCCTAAAATTATGCAACTACAATGAACAAATGGTGTATATTTCCTCTTGCCTAGATGATATTAATGATAAGACATCAGAATTTTAGCTTAGATTTAGGTTTTCATTTTTAAACAATTACTTTTTTTAAAATACACTTTATAATAAATGTCCCATCTTTTGCATGGAAAATACTATTATTAAAAAAACATGTATTCTAAAAAACATGTATTATTCTTAATGTCAAAATTAAATATGACCCTGAGCAAATATGAACTTTGAACAGCTGTATATTTATTTAGCAATGATAACAAAAATAGTGATTACTTTAACAAATGTGTCGCTCATAGTAATTATTGAAAGATTATTATTAAAGTTTTTACCTGTAAATTTTCTAAATGTATATTAAAAAACAAGTATTTCCTCAAACTCAAACGCTATAATTCATAGTCACATAATTAGATTTAATTATTAGACTAATTATTGTGTGACAGGTGTCTCAAAGCACATTTCAATGTTAATCTGTTTTCAGTTCATCAAAAATGACACGTATAACTTGAGTTTCTACATAAGCAGTGAGACGCATTGCAATCAAACACATCTGTATAGTAGTGCATGTTTCCCAAAATGCATACAGGCATTCGGCTACAAGTCACTTTAGATGTAGTCTATTTGCTATGATCTGTTTTGTCATTTAATGAACACTCACAAGACTACTTTAAAAAAAGAAGAAGAAAAAAAAAGCAAATATGTACTGAAGACTGCTTACATTGTTTCTCCGGTGTCGTCTTCTTAACAGTAGGACCAGAAGCACAATAGCCAGTAAACCTGCCACTACTAGTATGGGAACACTAATAGAGACGGCTGTGGCAGATTCCTCTCTACTTGGTTCATTCCGATAATCGTGTGTAGAGGCCTTTTCGGACACTGTCAAAAGACAATAATATTATGTGAAACATTAGTGACACCAATACCTGTACGAACCTGATCTGTACATAAACAAAAGTGCTAAAAATATAGAATTTCTCTGAAGTAAAAAAATCTAAGCATTTGTAACCCCAGTTCTGAGATTATAGCATGATTTGTACTTTAACACGAGGCAAATGCTGTGTTATGTTCTGGAGTCTCTGATATCATTCTATAGATAAGCTATTTTATTATAGCTGTTAGCACTGTTATGACGTCAATGAGATGTTTTTAATATTGTGAGGCTATTTTCTGATAGTTATAAATTTCAGTTCTGCTGCAGCAGCAACTTCCTTTGGTTTTCATCCATGTTCTGCTTTTATTCGACCATTCATGATGTTACACGTAATCATCTAAACCAATCTTAATAAATAACAGCTAGGCAGACTTGGAAAAGGGAAGCACGCTGAAGCAATGCAACAGGAAGCAGCTTACTGTTTCCGTTCAAGTGAAAACCTACTGATCTGTTCAGAGAGAGAAAAAAAGTTCAAACTCACCTGTTAGATTAACTTTTAGTTTTGTAGTTTTCGAGACTCTAGGGCTAACACTGACTATGAGATGACAGGTATAAACTCCTTCATCTTTCAAAGTAATGTTAAGCAGCAGCAGGGAGCAGTTTCCTTTCTCATTATTCAGGAAGAGTTGTGTTCTGTCCTTGTAGAAAGCATCGATGATGATTTCATCTTTTGAATAACCATTCACAATTACATTGCCATTCTGCCATATCAGTTCGTCGGGGTCATTAGAACAAATACAAGGTAAAAGTACATCCTGTCCAATGAAGCCAGACTTTAGTTCAACGACAGAGCCACCTACAAGAAAGGTAACAGACAATGCTCATAACAAATTCTCAACTTAATTTTCAAATTCCTGAAAATCTTTATTGTTGGTTCCCAAACAGGTCAAATGCACATGCAAACATTTTAAAACATGGTTCTCTAAAGCAGAGATACCCAAACTAGGGCCCGCGAGCCATAGTTGGCCCATGGTTACATTTGATTTGGCCCGCCATCTCATTTGAGAAGAGAAGGAGAATGATGTGGATGGTTTAGAGACTGTCATTTCAAATTTACCCTTTGTTTTTTGTTTTATTGTTGAGCTACAAAAAGGCTAAATGAAATGAAATGTTTCAATATAAACGCTGACAATTAATCGGATTTAGTTTAAAATGTACATACTGTCACCCAACGGATAGGTGACTTTGGTGAGCAAATGAAGGCAAAGGTAGATTCTGCTTGACTAGTGTATTCAGCATTGAACTTCACAGTGTTTTAAATGTGATTGTTTATGTTTTTAATGCAATGGTTATAATTAAAAACATTATACTGCATTACATAATATGTTTTAAAGTAATGTTTTCTATGTATTTTTTAATATTAGGAAATAAATTAGGAAATTATCCATGGCAACTTTAATGTAAAATAGTTTTGGTTTACCCAGAAAACAATTTTGTATTTAATCGACGTTTAAAAGACATCTAATTGTAGACGACTGGCTCTCAGTGACAATCTAGACATCTAAAAAGAGACCAAAACTAGACTAGTCGTTAAATAGACAGATTTATATGTGTAGTTATTTCTATTTACCAAATTTAACCTTGTTTTAGCCAAGACGACTATGTTTAGACGTCTATCAGACATCTATCAGACATCTATTAGACATCTATTAAAAACAAAAAAAAATGCTTACTGGGTATTTATCTTTTGAACCACAGCTATAAAAAATATGTGTTTTTTTGGCCCTTCATACCAAAAAGTTTTGGCACCCCTGCTCTAAAGCAACACAAGAAACTTGTTATCTTCATATCTTAAGTTTTAATGTATTAAATGAAAGTCACATGTGCATAATCAAACAAAATTCAAGATTATCTGGTTCAAAAGCATTCAGTAAACACTCACTCGTGAATAGCAGAAGTGTCAGCAATATCAGAATCATCTTGCTTTTCCTGTGGAATAGAGAAGCAGGTTTTGAAATATTTATGTAGTTGGAAATTCCCAAGTCCGCAAACAAACCAATACAAGCTTGACTGAGGTACATAGTTTTATGGTTGTAACACATAATACCAAAGGTACATACACGTTGTAACTGTAGTAAAAAAAAAACTGTTAGAAATCAGTGAATTTCCCCTCAAGTCAACCTCCTCCCCCAAAAGAAAACTTATCCTGGCTCTGGAATGTCCTGTATGCGTGCTCCGGGAAACAAATGAGTCTCTAACATGAAAAATTGCTTATCACTAAAACATTTAACTGCACGCCTGATTTGTTGAAAATGCTAATATATTAAACCCAATAAAAGTATTGTGACACTTTACAATAACGTTTCGTATTTACTATCATGAACTAAGAATGAACAATACTTGTACAGCAATTATTAATCAAAGTTCACCAATTATCTAATGCATTTTTAAAATCCAAAGTTGTGCTTGTTTAAATTAGTCAATAAATTATCGGTTTAGTTAAACTATCAATGATTAACTTTATTTCATTAACTAACGGAAATCATGTTACAGATATCTTATCCATTATTGCAAACAATATTATAAAGTTACTTTATCATTTTGACCCTTAATGTGCCAAATTGAATCATAGTTTAATTACAATGATCTGATTGCATCATTGTTTTTGTTAATTTAATTCTCATTAATAATAAAAGCTATTTACATTTACTAACTTTAACAAAAGGTAGCTTATTGTAAAGCGTACTAATAAGTATTAGACAAATATAATAAAAAATAAAAGAATAATGTCATGCTGACCTTTGCCTTATATATCCTCTTGCAGAAGCTCCTCGCGCAACCGATCGCTCTCAGGGAAGTGAAATGAATGGATCACACATTCGTGTAGTTTCTCATTTAAGACGCGCCTACGCATCATCCTACTCACACACGCCGCAGAGCCACGGGGGTGTGACTGACTTCTCTGTTTTATTGATGTTGTCAGTTACCCAAATGTGACCTATAATCCTACAGGTGACTGGTGCACATGACTGTCTAACTTGTTTACTATTTTGAGAAGCAAGTTATAGCAAGGTGAGACAAAATCTCAGGTTTTGCTGGAATTTACTTCTGTTTTTGTCCATGAGATGGCGCTAGAGGTGTTTTCCATAACACTTTTACTTGTGGCTGATTTTTCGTATTTAAATGTTGTTGTGGAAAGTTTATTGACATATTGGCTGTATTGCAGGTGAAGTGTAATACTCGTTTGTATTCAAAGGTGTAGCTTATAAATGCTGATGGAGAATGCAGAATTATTGTTATGGTTTACTATTCAGGGTGTCCGCGAGGTCCTAAATTTCAAAAACTAAATGTTAGACCTTAAAAAGTCTTAGATACACTTAAGTATTTTGTTGTAGGTCCTAAGTCATGTTAAAGAGGTCTTAATTTTGTCCAAGTAAAGCTACCCAATCACCAATAATCCAACATACCTATCCATCCATCTATACTTGTTTTTAATTGCAAAGAGATACAAATCACAACAGTACATGTTTACAGCAAATTCTCCTACTAAACTAAAGCAACACATCCCTTTACATGATCTGCCATTAATACAAAAACTATTTACTGAAATAACTGGGCCATTAGAAAAGATCCTTATAGTGTGTAACCATAAGTCTAAAATTTCATTCATGGTATTAAAAGGGTCTTAAAAAGTCTTAAATTAGACTTAAAGAAACCTACAGAAACACTGCTATTGCATTATGGGCTTGGTACTTAATTCCTAAATTAAATGCAAATGACTAAAATATTCAATTCACTTGCAATTCATTATTTTTTCGAGACACTGCCTGGTGCCAGTGTTGACCAGGACATAACACGTGTACAATCCTGCATCTGTTAAAAAAAAATTGTAAAGCAGCAGGAAGCAGTTGTTCAGGATTTGCATCCTGTTCTCATAGGAAGGATCTATGCTGATTTTGTCTTGTGGTTAAAGCTCAAAGCTCTGACCTTTTACTTATATCAGCTCTGTAAAGCTTTTAGGACAGCGGCATGGCAAAAGTGCCTTCTGTCCAATTGATCCAATTTCATTTTGTTCCACAGCAGCAATATCTGCCATGGTAAAATAATTAACATTATAGATACTTTTGTCTCCTGAAATTTGAAGATTAGGTTTTACATTTATATTTAACAATGCACCATTACTGCATTGTACAATATACTGGTTGCCTTAAATTTTTAAGCTGAATCAAATTAACCTTATGAGTCTGTTGAACTTATATTATGTTAAACTGACTTAAAACAGATTGCGTAACTTATAAGATTAAGTTAGAACATGATTAACTTACAATGTTAAAATGAACTAAAAACATATGTTGTTCATTTACTTTCAGTGAGTATAGAGTTTTGTTTGCTTGATTGTTGTTGATGTTGATGTTGTTTTTTTTTTTTTTTTTTTTTGCATTTTGACACTAGTTTTTGAAACATTTCATAAAGACGTACTCATGATGCTCAAAAAGATGCACAGGAAATGTCAGTGCTGCCAGGATCATTGTCAGCCATAGAGGATAGTTATTTTGAAGTATTTTCTGGTAAAAAATCACAAGCTCTTAGAAAAGGAAATGAAAGCCTTATTTCCATTTGCATTTCCATTAGCATTTTGTGTTTTGACGAAAGTTGAAAAACTGTAACCATTGACTCGGTTTTCAACTTCTTCTTCTTTTCAAAATCTTTTGTGTTCAACAGAATTTAAAAAAAAACATTTAAGTGTTTGGAACTACTTGAGGGTAAGAAAATATTGAGTAAATTATCATTTTTGGGTGAACTATCTATTTTAAGGTCTAATTTTATTAACAGCCTTAAATATCTTATATATATACTACATGAATGGAATCTTAAAACTTACAGGAAGAACAAAACTGATATAAAGTTGTATATATTTTCTAATTTTTATTATTAATATTTTTATTATTTTATTATTATTATTTTATTATTATTTATTTTTAATTATTTTTTTTTGCTGTACAAAGAAAATCTATTTAGAGTGGACAAACTAAATCTTGGTTTGGTGATTCAGCGAATTAATGCATTGCGTCCATGAGATGGCGCTCAAGGGCTTCAAGTAACCTTGGCATTTCTATTTCACTTTGTTTACCCATACATTTACAACTTACAACCACAAGGCCACATTTTGAGTAACTTGAATGTCCCTGACTCTGCCGGTTGTAATATAGTCGACAAAATATACCATATGGGGCAAAAACAACCATGTTGATTATACCAGTTTCTTTTATTTTAATAAGTAAATAAGTATATGGTACAATAAATAAATGTAGAAATAAATGAATGGTGATGATTTAACGCTGGCAAACAATATTACAAGATTACTTCATCATTTTTATCCTTATATGTACCAAATTAAATCATAGTTTAATTACAATTACCTTATTTTATCATTATTTATGTTGCTTTGGCTCATAACTGTGCATTTTAACTGTAGATTTAAACTAATGCTGGGTTCTACATACTTCCTTGATGTTGTCCCAACAAAAATCAATTAAGTTAACTTAATTGTTTTAGAAATTTAAGAGCATAAAACAGTTAAGTTATCCCAATAAAAAGTATTGTTATTTAAACTCCTTTTAAATAAGTAGTTAATGAGCAACAAATAATAACAACTTCTAGTTAATCATTTGGAAAAGGGTCAGAAGGGTGATTTTTCAGATGAATCATGGTGAACTGCATCCCAATCATCACAAACCCTGCAGAAGACTTATTGGAACTCGCATGGACCCAAGATTCTCACAGAAATTTGTTAAAGGAAAAATGTTTAGTGAAGGAAAAATCTTGGTTTGGGGTTACATTCAGTATGGGGGTGTGTGAGAGATCTGCAGAGTGGGTGACAACATCAACAGCCTGAGGTATCAAGACATTTGTGCTGCACATAACATTACAAACCACAGGAGAGGGCAAATTCTTCAGCAGGATAGCGCTCCTTCTCATACTTCAGCCTCCACATCAAAGTTCCTGAACGCAAAGCAGTTCAAAGTGCTCCAGGATTGGCCATCCCACTCACCAGAGATGAGCATTATTGAGCATGTCTAGGGTAAGATGGAGGAGACATTGAAGATGAATCTAAAGAATATTGATGAACTCTGGGAGTCCTGCAAGAACGCTTTCTTTGCCATTCCAGATGAATTTATTAATAAGTTATTTGAGTCATTGTAGAGATGTATGGATGCTGTCATGAAGCTCATTGGAGTCATACACAATATTAATTCTTTTTCCACTGCACCATGACTTTATATTCTATACTGTACATTATTTCTGTTAAGTGGCAAGACTTTTGTCTAAGTAAAGTCAGACCTTACTGTCCTAATTAAATAACTAAAAATCAAGGCATGATCATATTTTATTTTGGTAAAATAAGTGTAATCTAGAGGCCTTTGCCTTTCATATAAGCCACTTCCAAATGATCAACTAGAAGTCAACTTATTATTTGTTGTTTCTAAAATAAATATGCGACAAGACTGTTGTCAGGGTATATTACTTTCAAGGTTATAAATAGCAAAGATTTTAAATTTATGAATGAAATAAGATTTGATTGAGAATGTTTTGTTTTTTATTTTTATATGTATTAATATTACAGGTTTTTAAACTATGAGTTTTTAAGTCTTTGCTAACTAATGTAATTCTCTTATATATTATAAGTTTAGCTATCATGTGTTTGAGCTTATTGCTAATTTAGATATTAATACATGACAATAACTACTGCTGAAATCTCACAATCATCTTTCTTTTGATGTTCACAAACTGGTGTTGACTGTTTACTGCTCCAGTATGGCAGATGACTTACAAAGCGACAGATGCTAATCATAATTACATAAGCTACGTTTCCAGTAGAGATGATTTTGAGATGAGAACACATTACCAGTCTCAGTTGTTTACATTCTCTGAATCTTTAAAATACTATCAATGACTAACAGAGTGCCGGCAGGTGGTATGAGTAGGAGCTCACTGAAAATTCCCAGTTTACAAGTTGTAATTATGAGTTGTACAAGGATGTGAAAGCTTTTTACTAGTTGGAATCTTGTAATTACAGTAATTCTGATAAGGCATGAACGCACCTATATTTAGATGCCTCATTGGCAGCTGTTTCTTTGGGCGCAGTAAGAAATCCATCTGCCATATTGGAATGGTTAAAGATCCCCTGAAGTGCCTCGAAACATGCAGCATTATTCAGTGTGTTGGCGTAAATTAAACTGAAACAGGAAGACAGGGTGGGACATATCAGACAGCTCCTCCCCCATTTTTACTATAGCCATCAAAGATTTTGATTTTTGGGCTGTTGAGCTTGGTAAAGTTGCTCTTGACTGCTTGTAAATGTCACAGTATTAGTAATGCTAAGTCAAACTGTTTCTCCACCTAATCTCTTCCATATTGCTTTAGAAAAGCCTAAAGCATTCTACACTTAAAGTCAAAATTATTAGCCCCCCTGTTTATTTTTTTCCCCTAATTTCAGTTTAACAGAGAGCAGATTTTTTTTTTCAACACATTTCTAAACATAATAGTTTTAATAACTTGTTTCTAATAACTGATTTGTTTTATCTTTGCCATGATGACAGTAAATAATATTTGACTAGATATTTTTCAAGACACTTCTATACAGCTTAAAGTGGCATTTAAAGGCTTAACTAGGTTAATTAGGTTAACTAGGCAGGTTAGGCAAGTTATTGTGTAACGATGGTTTGTTCTAAAACAAATTAGCTTAAAGGGGCTAATAATATTGACCTTAAAATGGATTTAAAAAAAATAAAAACTGATTTTATTTTAGCCAAATTAAAACAAATAAGACTTTCTCCAGAAGAAAAAAATATTATCAGACATGCTGTGAAAATTTGCTTGATCTGTTAAACATCATTTGGGAAATTTTTAAAAAAAGAAAAAAAATCAAAGGGAGGCTAATAATTCTGACTTCAACTGTAGATGTAGAGATCACATTAATCTTATATGTTTAGTGGTTTTGTTGACTGTGGTCCATATATTATCAACTTCATGCGGGAGCAGACTGTGTGTGTGTGTGTGTGTGTGTGTGTGTGTGTGTGCGCGCTGTGCCTAATAGTTTAAAGTAAGCAATTATAAAATACTCACAATACTGTAATTTAGCAGGTTTTGTTTAAGAATTGTACTTTACTAAGTAGTTTTTCAAAGTGTTTTACTTGAGTTAGTGCTGTAATCTGTACTTTTAATCCGCTATTTTCCTTTTACCTGCAGTTACCAACTTGTGCTGTGCTGCACAGCTTGCATTGCAGTTCTAATTGCCAAACACTCATTGCTGGAAAAGGGTCTGGCTGCAGATGCAAGCTGAGCTGCATGCAATGCTTTTAAAGTACACATCTAACCCTAACCCTCACAGTGACATATAGGTCCATTAAGTGCAATGTGTAAGAGATCATTGTGTCTGCAGTCAGATACGATTACATTGCTTTGCCTATTAGACAGGGTTAGACGAATGCATAACCAGCAGGTCAGGCTCAGTGGTAAGCACTGTTGCCTCACAGCAAGAAGGTCGCCTGTTCGAGTCTAGGCTGGGCCAGTTGACATTTCTGTGTGGAGTTTGCATGTTTTGCCCGTGTTCATGTAGGTTTCCTCCGAGTGGTCCGGTTTCCCCCACAGTCCAAAGACATGCGATATAGGTGAAATGGATTAACTAAATTGGCCATAGTGTATGAATGTATGAATGAGAGAGATGTATGGGTATGGGTATGGGTGTTTCCTATTGCTGGGTTGTGGTGTCCGCTGCGTAAAACATATGGCGGAATACTTGGCAGTTCATTCCGCTGTGGTGACCCCTGATAAATAGGGGAGTAAGCTGAAGGAAAATTTATGAATGAATAACCACCAGGGCTTCTCAAAGTCCAGATCCAGAGAGAATTCAATCCAGGTTTAAAAAGTGTACAGGTATGTTAAATTTGTAATCGTGTTTGATTGTTTTTTTGTTTTTTTTTGTCTATTTTGCAATAGTCCAAAAAAAAAGCAAAGGTGACAGTTTTCCTGCATGACAGACAAGCTTATGCTTGTGATTGAATTCACTGATGGTCAAGATTATTCAAAGTACCCAAAAGAACCTGTCTTATAAGTGCACTCATCAGCTGACCGCTTATATCCTTATGGACAGCTTTCCAGCTGTAACCAGTCTGTCCAGTTAGCTTGCCATGTCAGCTGCGGACTTGAGACGCAGAGAAGAGTTGACCACAATGACAAGGTTCAAGTCCGGCGAAGAACGGTCCTGGAAAGCAGGTAAAGCAAAAACAGAAGCCAAAATATAACATAAACAAATAAATAAATGGGGTGAGAATGTGGTAAAATCTGAAAACGTGGTATAAATCAGTGGGGTTTTCTTTTTCTGGGTTGCCTTTGAAAACTTAAGGCGTTTTTTTGTGTTTCAAAATATCATCCTTTTTTAAATGTCCACTATTGTGGACACCAGGACCATCCTAATGTAATTAATGACGGCATGTTGTAGGAGGCAGAACTGAAGCAGAGAGGATTCTTTATAAAATAGTTGAGGAAGACTCTGACTTAGAGTCTGACAATTAGAGAATTAGAGACAATTAATGACAGTTTTAAATCGCTTTTAAGTTAAATTTGTTTTGGATTCATTCATTCATTACCTTTTCAGTTTAGTCCCTTTATTAATCCAGGGTCGCCACAGTGGAATGAACCGCCAACTTATCCAGCCCTTCCAGTCGCAACCCATCTCTGGGAAACATCCACACTCATTCATACTCACACACACTCATACACTACGGACAGTTTAGCCTACTCAATTCACCTGTACCGCATGTCTTTGGACTGTGGAGGAAGCCGGAGCTGTTTTGGATTAAATCACTTTTTTTTTTTTTTTTTTGTAGTTTAGCCCTCTTTCCGACTAAATAAAACTTTCAGGAATTTCAATACAAAAGAAAAAAATGGCTTTTGTTTTGTTTTTGTTACATTAATATTTGATTATTATCTCTTTACAGCCATATCCTGTATATAGTTTTGTTGTCTGAGTGGCAGCCGTTTCAAACTAAAATGGTCCTGTGGTCCACTACAGTGAACATGCTGTAAAATTAAAAATTAAAACAAAATGTAAAACTCTAAATTTTAGATTTTTTTAACCCAAAGGATGTAGGAAATCACAGAAAAATAAGAAAAAATTATTTGGGTCTCAGGAGGATAAATCACAGAATAATAGTTATTTTTTTAATAAATTGTCCAATATCATGCAGTCCTACCACATAGCCTACAATTAATACAAACACTTTGACTGCTTTTGTTACTTAGATGTTGTACCATTTTTAACAACATAAATCAATATCTTTATAATTAATTTGATAAAATTCAGAGGTAGGTTGAGGCAACAATAACTGATAATATGCATATTAAAATGCATTAGTTTGTGTTTTGTTTTATTAGTAGATAGCATAAATGAGGCTAAAATGAGGCTAAAACGGGGCTATCAAATCGAACTGGTTTGCAACCGTCTGCATTCATTCATCCCAGTGTTTTGATGTGATGGTCAAACTGTGCGGTTTACTCATTGACCACCTCCAACCTCCGAGTCCATTCTCCTCCACTTCTAGACGTGTGGTCAGCTGACTTTCCCTGGAGCAGCTGTGTGCAGTCGCGCATTCTCACAAAGCACAACCACACGATAGGGGCACACGGAGCAGAAAATCGCGACAGAAAAACCCTGATCCGCTCAGGATATATATTCACCAGGACGTGCTGCGCTTGGGAACACAGCCATGGGTATGGACCGCACGGTATTCCTGCTGTTAATGCTGACGACTTTGTCCCTCGCCATCGAGGTAAGAATGATTGTGTAATGGAGAAGGAGCTTGGTTCTCCTCCATACTTTAAAGGGCGGCCTGGGAGTGAAGGGAAAACGCATGACACGGATGCAGACAGACATTTTGGGCGCTGCATGATTGGCATTTGCAAGATGATCGTTTTTTATAATGCAATATATATGTTTATATTTGGGACGTGCGAGTTTTAAATCGGTTAGTGTTGGGTGGAGGCTTCTGGTGCAGGCTGCTTTACACTAATAGTATCAGGCGTAGTGTAGCGCGTGAAAGTGATACACATCACTGAAAATGCATGCATTATTCTGGCGTCTTATGAAATATAAGACATTGATTTGTTTTAATATTTGAAAGTCATTTGCACATCTTCTTATGAGAAAGTGCTTCGTATTAAAAGGACGTTTGCACAGAATTGTTTTCCACTGTGGAAAATGCTGATATGGCGACTTTATGCTACTGTAACGTTACGTGTGTGATGCGTTTTATATAACAGCAAATAAATGTGTTGCAGAGGAATATGAACTCATGCCATACAGATGCGGCTGGCGAAATCATGTAAACATCAGTGACTGACAGCCCTTTGTCACGGCGAGTGTAAAAGAAAACGCAATAGCCTATCCTTCGCCGACTGCGATGTACACGTTTTCTAGAACTACACGAATGAATAAAATATAAAAATGCTGGGTGGTCTGCAAGATTGCAGAGCTCCGTATTGAGCGAATAAATGCTGTGGCAGCAATCCGACGGCCCTCAACCAGTCGAGCATCAGAAGAAAACGCTCATTCCTCTGCGGAGCCGTTTGCGCATTTAATATTCACACTAGTGTTTAATGGTGGGATTTGTTTTGTAATGGTAAGTCGATGGTTCAGATTAGTAGATGATGAGGGGCTGGTTTGCGAAGGAAAGATTCTGTGTGGGACATCAAAAAAAGATGTTAGCTGACAGAAGCAAGATGGCGTCAGTGAACTGCGGCGTTTCATTTTTTTTAATCCGAACGCCGTAAAGGCAGAAATCTGTCCTGGATGGATTCAAGGTGTTTCACGCACCCACTAACAGACGCTGTCTATGCGTATGCTGTTTATTTTAACGTTGGTATTTGCGAGTGAATAATATGAGTCTTTATTAACTCGTGTTTTACACATAAGAGTTTTTTTTTATTCTATGCATTTCATATTCATAGGCCTACATGTAAATGTGGTGTTGTGTTATCTTAAAATATGGTTAAACCCGTATATCAGAGTGCAAATAATGACAGAGGATTTGACATTAAAGGCATGTAGAAAAAAATGTCAGGCTAACAAAAATAAACTATTCTGCTTTGTTAATATCTATGTTCTATGGTAGTTTTGTTAGAATTCAGTTCCTAATGTTATAGGTTTTGTTTATAACGAAAAAGGAAAGTTCACCTAACTTACCCTCTGGTCCAAGATGTGAGGCTTTTTTTCTTCAGTTGAACATTAGAGAAGATTTTATCTGAAACATTGCCATTGGTGATTAATAGGTCATCTGCTACCAGCACTTGTAAGATGAAAAGAAATTGGCAAAACAATGAATGCCAAAGGCTCCTGACAATAAATTGTGCTTTTATCATGCAAAGCAATCAGGGGGTACAGGAAAGTAAAAGTTATTTTCAACATTAATACATTTAACTTAGTCTCTGCAAACTTTCCTAGGTATGAGTCTGAGCAGATGCAACTTGATTACTATGAAACATGCATTGTATTGTTAGACAAAATTAACTCAGATGCCTAGAAACATCCAGCCATATAAAAATGACTGGAAACCTAAATAAAAAGTTTCCCACAAACAGCATTATCCTGACCCTATATCATACGTTATTATTTGAGAAGCTCATGCTTCAGACTATGGTGAACATTACCTGAATTGTTTGCATATGCTGTAGTAATAACATTGTACATAATTGTCAGTTTCTTGCACAGACCAATCGTTTTGCTTCATTAGGTATCATCAGAAGCTGTTATTTATATTGCTTTCACTATGTATGGAATTTATATGCACCAGAACTGTCTTGACACAGAAACAGCTTCTTCCCTCAGGCAATCCATCTGATGAACACTTAATGATAATAATTGTGGAACCAACGTTACTACTTGCTAGACACTTTTTATACACATATATACTTATTTAACAACACACTTTACATGATAATTTACACATAACAGCTGTACATATAACGTTGTATGTAGTAGTATAGCTGTACATACACTTGTCAATTTGTATATTTGCATTTACTACTTACTTCTATTTCTAAGATATATATTTATTATCTGTTTTTTTGTCCTGTCTGTAATTCTAATGCACTGTAGAAGCTCTGTCACCAAAACAAATTCCTCGTATGTGTGAACATACCTGGCAATAAAGCTCTTTCTGATTTCTCATTACATACATCTTATGAGTCACCGTAGACCAAGAAACTTCTTTAATGTTCTCTCAATGAACAAAATTCACCTGAATGTGGGATTTGGTTGAGTAAATAAACTGTACATTTTTATTTTGCGGTGAAAAGTCTTGTAGCTAATATTTCCAAAGCATTCTTCTGAGAATCTCTCTCTCTCTCTCTCTCTCTCTCTCTCTCTCTATATATATATATATATATATATATATATATATATATATATATATATATAAAACTAGACCACAGCACAATCCCTTTCGGTCAGTATTGTTATTACATAAGACATCAGCAATAAAGAAAAAGATTGACCCACTGTAATTGGTTTTCACATTAGTATTGATTCACGTAACACTACAGATGAATGGAATCAAGTTTGTGGGTCTTGGTACATGTGTGCTATAGCTTTGCCATTGTTCCAAAACTGTATTTAGTTAATTTAATTCTTCAAAATTAATTAGTAAGTCTTAAGCATGTCAAGTGCTTAAATCTGACCTCTTGTAAGTCATTATTTTCTTTCTGACTGGTTCAATAAAAAAGCCCCTTTAGGCTTTTTTCATTATAGGTGCCACTTGTAGGTACTGTGCCAAAACAATCTTTGACAGTTTGCGCTGTCACCTCTTTACTGGTCACTATAACCACACACAAGTCATTTTGGCTGAAAGGTCCTTTGCTTTAGCTTGCTTGTAATTACTAAATCTGTTTTCAGTCAGCCTCCATCTGAAAAAGGCCTTTCTTTGTTTGACTGGGAAATGTCACTGGAACATGTAAACACGGTCGGTTTTAAATTATGTTTTTGAGAGCTACAAAAGCTACTTCATTGATTTTGACAGCCTTCAAGATTAAGCCAGAGCTGAATGACTCTTGAAAGCTGCACATTTCATTTTGATAGATGCATTAATGTGGATCCTGAGCTGCTATGACAACCTGACTGAGACACTATTTCGGGAGATTGATATTCGCAGATGATTAGCTTTCACCAATGGCTCAGTGGATGTCGGTGTTAAAGCATTTTGAGCACCATGGTAATTCTATCATAAATGTACATCTATAGCTTATGTGCAGCATACAGAATGATCTTACTACTGCAATGAGCTGTCGCACACATGGGTTTCCTAAAGAGCTAACTACTGTACTGCGGTCAGTGTAATTACAGTCTTCTGTTTTTAAACTGCCATACAGCAGAGAGATGTTTTATTGCGCTTTAACCACCAAGCTCTTTGATTAAAAGATAGATAGAAGGAAAAACAGATTGCCAGAGTCTATCTGTTTATCTACACTACCTGACGCTGATCTCTTTTGTAAGAGCAACAAATAATAGCTTGACTTCTAGTTGATTATTTGATAAAGTGGCAGAAGGTAGATTTTTCATATGAATCATCTGTTGAACTGCATCCCAATCATCACAAACACTGCAGAAGCCCTATTAAAACCCACATGGAGCCAAGACTCTTGAAGTTTGGTGAAGGAAAAATCATGGTTTGGGGTTACATTCAGTATAGGGGTGTGCCAGAGATCTGCAGAGTGGATGGAAACATCAACAGCCTGATCTATCAAGACATTTGTGCTGCACATTACATTACAAACCACAGGAGAGGACAAATTCTTCAGCAGGATAGCACTCCTCATACTTCAGCCTTCACATCAACGTCCCTGGAAGCAAAGAAGGTCAAAGTGCTTTAGGATTGGCCAGTCCAGTCACCAGACATAAACATTATTGAGCATGACTGGGCTAATATGAAGGAGGCATTGAAGACCCTGTCTTTGTATTCTAAACTGTACATTATTTCTGTTAAGTGGCAAGACTTTTGCCTAAGCAAAGTCAGACCTTACTGTCCTAATTAAATAATTAAAAAATCAAGGCATGATCATATTTTATTTAGGTAAAATAAGCGTAATCTAGAGGCCTTTGCTTTTCATATAAGCCCCTTTTGATGCCATATGATCAACTAGAAGTCAAGTTATTATTTGTTTTTCCTAAAACTTAGATAGGCGACAAGACTTTTGTCAGACAGTGTGTATGTTTATCCCCCATTCACATGTGACATTAAACAAATATGACATTAAAACTTCCAGTAGGTGGATAGTCTCTCTTTTAATGAGAGATTTTCTGAATCATTCACTCAAAGTGGCTGATTCATTTACTAAAAACATCAAAACAAGAGGCTAAATGGAAGGATGATGTTTTGCTCTAACTTTGTAACATTTTTCATTGACAAAACAGATTAAAGAGACAATATTTTGTGAAACTGCATGAAATTAAAGTCATATTTTTCATCAGGCTCACATGCTAATGATTAGACAGACGGCATTCTTACTTGCATAGTAACTAGGACTGCACAATATATCGTTTTAGCATCAATATTGCAATGCACGCAACTGTAATAGTCACATTGCAAAGATATGTAATGTTGAGTCTGAATGCTAGTTGAGCAGGAGCTACAGAATTGTATTTAACCACTGTATTTGTATGTAGTTTATATGATTAATGAAAAGAAATTACTTAGAAATTTTGTCCTGTTTCTAGTCCAAATATCTACATTTCAAACTGAAAACCAGATTATTTTACTTACCTTACTGGCAGATTATT